TTGTTCAGAGTAATTCAAGGTGGGAAAATTTGCTCTTATGGTTTTATCCAGTTACATCTGTTATTTCCTAGTGATAATATAAGGTGGGGTTAGGTGTTCTGTCCTGGGAAAAGGTTTTCTTTTTTTTTTGCTTAACATGGTGTTTGTGAAACGAAATAGTTATAGGATCAAAAGGATTACAATTGGTTATTAGATCCAAGATTTCTTGATTAGAAGTATCAAGCACATCAATATGAATATAAAGCTTTAGGACTTGATCATTTGCTTTCTTAATCTTACTCAACTGCCTAGTGATTCTTTTCGATATCTTGATTGGCAGGTCATTTCTGAAGAGATGGATATGAAGAAAAAGAAATACCTTAGAGGCGAAGGAGCGAGTTTGAAGGTACTGAAGTTTGTTAAGATTTCTAAACTTTCTTTTAACTTTAACTTTGATTCCGGTTATTTTTTCTTTTCCTTGATGATCATATGCTAAAGAGCTACTTCTAATAATTGCAGGATTTGAAAGATAAAAAATTACAGGGTCAGCTTGTTGTGCAAGAAGAGTTATTTGGAAAATCTGCAGCAGCTGCTGCGAAGGCTGAGAAGGTGTCTAGACTATGTTCTGATAGTTTAGCTTAATTTTCTAGGCATCTACATAATATTGGTGAAGCATATCACTATTTTGTTTCTCACGTTGTAACTAGTAGATGTATTCTACTGCCCTTACTGCTTCCTCCTTCCACCCCAATGGACCCACCCACCTGCACCAGATTGTTCTCTTTCTATTGGTTGTATTTTTCATTAAACTTAATTGCAGAAAACCTAGGTCAAATAGCATATATTATGTTGCCTCTGTTAACCACTTGAAATTTATTTTATCAACTGCGTACAATTTTATGCCTGTCACCGAGATTTGTTTGAATCTCTAACTCTTCTGCTTTTGTCAGTGGCTTATGCCAAGTGAGGGTGGTTATCTAGAGGGTGATGGTATTGAGAAGACATGGAGAATAAAGCAGGATGCAATTGCCAGTGAAGTTGACATTTTGAGCTCTAGGAAACAATTTGATATTGTCTTACCAGGTTAAGACTTTGGAAGATTTTGCATATATATAACTACTGAAAAAAATGCAAAGTTGCTGGTCTTTGTTTCATTTTCATTTTGATGATCATGGAATTTTGTCATGTCCTGCATGTTTATCCATTTAAACTTGCAAGCAGAGTAGTGAAACGTTATATGCTTCATCCCTAGCAACTGTAACTGCTTTAAGTCAATTCTCATCGTTACATCTGAGATTTTCCTCAGACAATTCTTTGAATCTTAGTAAAAGCCTCACTAATGGAAGCCGATGAAGATGAAAACCTTACTTATTTTACTTTATCAAAGAATTTTGAAATAGTTATGAAATGTTTGGTCTGAAGTATTCATGCTATATACTTCATTTCATACTCAGTTGTCTCAAATAAGTGGTGGTGGTATTCTTCTGTTTGTTTATTTTCAGTTCTTCCCCTACCTTTGAATCATCTCCTCATTTTTTTTTGTGCTTGATATTTAACCAGTACGGATATTCGATGATTAGTCTGCATCATCCATCTTATTAACTTTTGATGATAAAGTGATTCATATGTCCTCTCAATACAAACTTCACTTAGATGGTCGAATATGATGCCTAGGTTTTGTCATCAAACCTTATTTTGCTTGTGGGGGCTATATGCACGGACTTATGCATAGGTTGTTGATGAACAGTCCTTAACAGTCTTTGGCAATGGGAACTGTGTTGGGGTGAGATTCATAACATGCTATGGGAGGTTTTTAAAATTTCCATCTTTCAATAGCTTTCAAGTCAAGTCCTTTCTGTGTCTCCTGTCTGTCATTTACTTTTTTATGCTTCCATAGATTATGGTTTAATGTAGTTTCACTGTTTCACATCAGTTGACTTGCATTTTGCAGATTTTGGTCCTTACACTCTTGAATTCACCCCTAGCGGTCGCTACATGGCTGCAGCTGGACGCAAGGGTCACATTGCTATTGTAGATATGAAAAACATGAGCGCCATTAAAGAACTACAGGTATTTATTGTTCTTTGATTTATTCTCGAAAAAGATTATATAAAGCTAGCATATTGATGTTATTGTTATACTTCATAAAGGGGTCAAGGATCTTACTTTGAGAGGTTTCAAGGATGTCTGTCACACTTAATAGTCCGTTTAACATGGGGTATTCTTAGCTTGCAGCTAGACAGTTTAGTTTCATTAATTTCATAATCACATATCAAACTTAGTTTATCGAGAAGAAGTGTTAGCATCATTTTATCCTATAACACAACATCATTGAAATGAAGTCTTGTATTCCATTGGCATTTTTTTTTTCAAATAGAAAAGAAAAACCCATCTTGTATTACATTTGCATTATGTGGTTCCTCACCAGTTTCTGAGGCTCAGGTATGCTTATTGCTTATGTTTCTATTGCAGGTCAGGGAAACAGTGCGTGATGTAGTATTCTTGCATAATGAACTGTTTTTCGCTGCTGCTCAGAAGAAGTAAGACTCATTTTATGTCCAAATTTCTTGATTGTAATGTGTTATAAGAAGGGTTTCAAAGGCCCTCTATTCCTTTGGTTATGTTTCACCGGGTATAGAGATTAAATAAGTTCCTATGCTCTTCTTAAATATTCACATGGATCTCAGAATTGGTTTGAATCTGGATATGAAAAGATGACTTTCAGATGAACTTGTTTTAGCATTTCCTTCTCTCTTTGTGTCCACTTGAATTTTACTGCTGGATCCTCTGCGAAGCTCAATAATTTCGTCAGCAATTTTGTGCATGTCCCACGTTCCAACATTCTTTCAATTCATAGAATTCATCCTTTAATTAGTGTCCATCACAAATTTGGCAGATTTTGTTTGGTGAACCTAAATGTCTGCCATGTCACAGGTACCCGTATATATACAATAGAGAAGGCACGGAGCTCCACTGCATGAAGGTTAGTTTGATCTGTAAATGCCGTGTGCCTTATGTTGTCTAGACAGTTAGATCATTACATGTGTAGTTGTTACAACTTGTGTTCTATAGTATGTGTGCCTTTCTAATACCTCCAATTTTCCACGAGTATTCAGCTGGTGCATTATTTTGCACTTTTTTTATACTATGGTAATGGTTGAAAGGGGAAGGTGTCAGCTATTCTGTGTTTACTTAGTACTTGTTTCTTGTTCTTCTAAACTCTTCTTCGTCTTAAAGATAAAACTCTTCACAGTGCATGTCTTCTGTTCCTTTGAGCAGTTGCAAGAAACTTCACTTTCATTGCTGTCTTTTTGCATCAAAGAAAAGGGAATTGTTCTTATAGGAAAACAACCTTTATAACAAAACAATTACCTTTTATAGTTTGCTGCCTTAGAAAAGAAAATTTGTATGGATTCCATGTGGTTGTTATTTCAGGATGCTATTGTCGAAACAAATGCATGCTTATCTTTTGCATTTCCCTATTGCTTAGGTTTTTAACCATTTAGCAAGTACAAATGGAGTTACCGTATTATCTTTCTTAAATTCCAGGAACATGGTGCTGTGCTAAAGCTTCAGTTTTTAAGGAATCACTTCCTTTTGGCTTCTATAAACAAATTTGGTCAGCTGCATTATCAGGATGTTACCACTGGACAGATGGTAGCTAATGTTCGAACTGGCTTGGGTCGTACTGATGTCATGCAAGTAAATCCCTTCAACGGTGTGGTTGCTGTGGGCCATTCCGGTGGCACGGTCAGTATGTGGAAGCCTACAAGTGCTGCACCCCTTGTGAAGATGCTTTGTCATCCTGGACCAGTCACAGCTCTGGCATTCCATCCTAATGGACATCTAATGGCAACTGCTGGTATGGAGAAGAAGATAAAGATTTGGGATTTGAGGAAGTTTGAGGTTCTACAAACATTACCAGGTCACTGCAAGTCCTTGGATTTTAGTCAAAAAGGTTTACTTGCTACTGCAACCGGATCTTTTGTACAAGTTTATGGAGATCTTTCTGGATCCCAGAATTATAGCCGTTATATGACCCACTCTGTTGCAAAAGGATACCAAGTAAAGAAGGTGACATTCAGACCATACGAAGATGTTCTAGGCATAGGACACTCGATGGGTTGGTCTTCTATCTTAATTCCAGGATCTGGAGAACCCAACTTTGATTCTTGGGTGGCAAATCCATTTGAAACATCTAAACAAAGACGAGAGAAGGAAATCCGCACTCTTCTTGATAAACTCCCTCCAGAGACTATCATGTTGGATCCAACAAAGATTGGTTCAGTGCGACCAGAAAGGAAGAAGGAAAAGCCATCAAAGGAGGATAGAGAAGCAGAAATGGAAGCTGCTATCGAGGAAGCTAAAAATATTCATATGAAGAAGAAAACAAAAGGTAGAAGCAAGCCAAGTAGGATTGCAAAGAAGAAGCAAGAAGCTGTTGAAAAAGCTAAGAAACCTTTCTTGGAGCAACACACGAATAAGAGGAAACCCACCGAGGAAACTCAGCTTCCAAAATCTTTAGAACGTTTCGTTAGAAAGAAGGCAGCAGCATGATCAGTTTTGTTCACTGGACTGTTCTTTCTTACCCTTTCCTTGCATTTGCATTTGATTCTTTTTTTGGCTCTTATCACTTCCCTTGAGGGAATTGCTTATAGAAATTGAAGAAGCAAGTGTTGTAATTCTTCAGATCAAGTTTTCCCATTTTCTCGTCGTTTACATTGTTTTACTGTTAAGGTTAAAAGTTTAGGCATTCTTGTTTTAACATTAAGGTTTCCAGCTTGAAGTACAGGCCAATGTAAAATCTACAAAGTAGACAATGTATGAATCAATTTTTCCTAGCCATGGTTTACTTTCTTGCTTCCTATTCTTCGTTTGATTTTTGCGCCATCTGTTTCTCCTTCATCTTGATTCTAAACATACAGTGCATTGAATATTTCAGTGGATGGAAAAGAGCTATAAATGAACAACACAACTTTACATATCCCTACCTTAAAGAGGTAGAAAGTCTGTTTCCGATAGAAGAGCAACCTTACACCAAGCTTATAAATCAAGTTTCTTCATTGTATCAAGTTTATGAAATATGACAGCAAGTAATAGGTAAAGATACCAACTCAAAAACAGTAACATTGGAAGAAAGCCATCATGATATTCCAGAAACTATTATCTTTTTGTTTGGTTGAACAGTGGTACTTTGAATTAGTATAATGAATCTTATTTGTACTTTGTGCTATACTGCTGCTTCTACTCTTTTGAGTCTACAACAAACTGTAAATGTTGGTCATGCTCGTTTTGTACGTCGTCCAACTTCAAGGGCGAGCTCTGTGTCGATTTTCAGAGAAATGTCAAGTGCTTTCACAGAATGCGTTAAGGCACCGCTGCAAACATTCAAAAATGTAAGATATAAGTATCATAACAAACCTTCGTGTGCCTACTACAAATGCGACTAAAAAGAAAGATAGATTACGGATGGAACAAAAATTAAGACTTTCTCCGGTATGATATCCAAACAACAAACTACGTCTCGAGTTGAGGTCGGCTATATGAATCCTCACATATCATGTTTCCATTTGAATACTAATATGAAATCCACTCCTTAAAAGAGAGATACAGCAGCCTAATATTCCAATAAATTTTAGAATTCAATCCAAGGAAATTATGCTTTATAAGTGAAGATTTTGTTAATCATTAGAAATAATCGAGAGGTCCACAACTTAATCCCTCAAGTATTCTAGTGATCCATGTATCTTCTGAAACAGAAAGAGTGAAATGCATACCTCGAAATGTAGGTAACACCAGTTTGCCCAATTGCGTGCACTGTTTCAAGGGTAACATTTCCTGAAGCCTGCCACAATTATAGCCAAAACATCATGCCATCACAAGATATACTTCACAAAAATGATAAACAGGAAAGCCAAACAGTGCTATATTGTGAGTTGTGAATGGAGGTTTTATCATAAGATCGAGCTTCCATGCGACTGCTATGCTCTTTACATGTTTAAATTGATAAAAAGGATCTAGCAAAATGACATGAAGACTTTGGTGCATGAAGGAACAATAGGGGCAAGTAACAATCTATACTCGTCTTTTTGCCAGTATCAGAACCAGGCTATATATCGGGCTTAAATGTCTTCATTTAAAGCAGATAAAAGTGACATGATATGTTCTTGCTTCCTTTCAACTCTCCATTAGGTAAAAAAGTCCCCGCCTTTTAGTCTGAAGGTTTCTTTTACGTTCCTTTTGACTTTAAGAATTTAGTCAGAATGAGTGCACTCGTTAGATCACAGTGCTGAGGCGAAGTGTTGATCTAGATAAACCAGATGATACTTAAACTATTTGGAGGAATATACCAGGTGTCCAATTGCTTCATTTCTTGCATTGTGTCTACGACAATACGATATGGCTAAGAGAAAATAAGAAAACAATACTTTGTATCTTGCCTTTAGAAAATTCACATGTGACCAATAATGAATATCTTACAACTGAGAAAAGTCAAGGCATTGCATCACATTAATCTTCTATATGCTGACATTTGTGTGAAGCAGTCAAAAAATGAAAATGAAATCAAGTGTTACCTCGGTCTCAAACTTCCCCTTAATCAAATCTACAGCCTCCTTAAGCATGGATACCTCAACATCCCCGTTAGATAATGGAATAACCATATTGTCCAGCATTATCCTAGTCAATGAAGTTTTCGTTTGAGATGCATATTCTAGAACCTCATGTACTTCTGCAAGCGTCCTGGTTTCAACCTGTTGGATAGGAAAAAAGGTTTAGAGCTCTGCCAAGAATTACCACAAATTGAACATATTTTAAAGGCTCGTGACTCTATCTCCAAATACCATAACGTGAATTTGAGTGTCATAAATCAGACAATTTGCACGATGCAACCTACTTGCTAATTTGGTCTTTGGGGGAGTGGAAAAGAGGGAGGGGGAGGGGGATCAGTGGCCTATTAGATAACTTAGTTTTGTTTAAGACTGCACAATATCAATCAATCAATCACGCTTCAATCCCAAACTAGTTGCCGGGTGTATGTTTCCTCAAAAAGTAGTGTAGTTTTTAAGGATCTAACACAGGTGTGTTGGCAATTTGTGGGGAGTCCAAACAAAATAGAATTGAACTGTCAGGTCAAAATAAACATATCAAATGTTCAAACCATAACTTTACAAGGTAACGACTTAGATAAAAAAAACATATAGAAGAATTTAATCCAAAGGTATATGGGATCAACCTCAACCCCCATTTGCAGTTTATTTTGCTCCAAATACTGATCCACAGATTCTAGAGCTTTGCTGACACCTCCAGCAGCAGATATGTGATTGTCTTTTATCATTACCATATCAAATAAGCCCATTCTGTGGTTCTTACCCCCACCGATCAATACCTTTAGTTAAAGCCAGGTAAAAAATTAGCCAAGATAAAGCATACATGTTAGCCTCTACCAAAGTGGATGACATTGGTGAGTAGATCTTTACCGCCCATTTATCCACCAAACGTAATCCTGGTGCCGTCTTCCTAGTCTCCAAGATGTAAGCAGGGTTTGCAGCATCTGCCATTGCCTGCAAATATAAAAAAAGTTAAGTCTCTTCTAATCACTTCTACAGAGGAAAGAAATTTAACCCCATAACATCTTTGGCTAACATGCTTTAGTTGAACCTCACATTAGTTAGTTTATTTTCGTCTATGGAAGTTTAGAAAATGGCATGTGTATAGTTTTGTGTTTGCGTGTGTATTTGCAACTATTGTTTGTTACGTATTAATCAGAGGACTCTTTCTCATAGACTGATTGTAAAATCGTTTCCATTATGTAGCTCAGGCACCATCTAAGGTCATAGAAGAGTGAATTCTCACAAGTCTTATAACAAACACATGGAATCTGTTTGCAACACTTGAAATCTTGACTTTCTGGTAGATGGAGAAAAATTACCACAGGCCAAGACTAATTCTCATAGAAAAACGAAAACAATGAATTTAGCAAGTTGCTTCACTACGATGGTAGCTTATATATCACAGAGGAATGTCTAAATATGGATCAACACATGTTCTACACCGAAACTCAGTAATTTCAGACATAGAACAATTGATCAGTCTCAGACTTACACTTGGAATACTGATACCAACTCATCAATGACAATAACCATTTCCATTCATGACAATATATTTCCAGATCTTTATTAATGATGAGCTACTTACACGAGGACAAACACACCTTAGTTAGCGTAGCTATTCCACTCATTCTTTGCATAAAATTGAGAACCACCCTCTCAGCTATAACAATGTTGTGAGCCTTTCCTACAAAAGTCGGGCAAAGTATATTAACATGTCAAAAACTCATTAGTAATTAAGCATTTCTCACATTTAGTTTACCTTGTACTTTGCCAAATTTCAAGCCTTTATGAACTTTATCACCATCCTTTATAAACCACTCCACCTGATAATGAGAACATGGAAAAATTAAACATTACCCTTTATAAATTTAGGTAGAAATACCAGTTACCACAACAACCGAATTGAAAAAATCAATACCTTTAGTGAAGGATCAACTTCCGCGAATATCATCTCAGTAAGTGCAATTCCTGCTACAATCCCATCTTCCTTTGCTATAAAGTAAGCTTCGGATTCCAAGTCAACAGGAATTGTCGCCTTACAAGACACATCTCCTGCATTTCGCACAAGAATAGATTTAATAAATAGAATTTTAAAATTCAGTACTCAAATTACACTGATGATAGTGCCTGTGATTACATATTATTTAGAAATGTGGATCTTCATGTTGTATGCTTACTAAGAACACAAAGAATCCGAATTAGTCCCCCACCCCACCCTAATGCTTTCTAAGAACACAAAACCTATAAATTAATTGTATACACAAAAAGGTTTAAACTTGAACTTCGCAAAAAAAAAAAAAAACTATAATCAAACTTCATAAGCAACTCTCAATTATACAAAAAGTTCACAATTAGCTTATTATTTCCACAAACATAAAAACCAAGCACAACTCATTTGACAACATAACACCAAAAAAAAAGAAGAAGAAATGAGGTTAAAACCAAACCTAAATCCCCAGCATCTTCAGAGAGGGCAAGTTGAATAACACCCTTTAAATCATAAGTGGGGTGTGCTGGAGGCTTCACTACTAATGAATCCATTGTTCTTCCTGCATTCTTGGTGGCCATTGCAGACATTTTCACAACCAACCTACAATTTTCCAACAAAAATTTCAATCTAAACTCATAAAAGAACAATCTTTATCAGTATTTAACAAAAAAAAAACACAATTTTCAAGAATCTTTTTTCTCATCCTTCTTCTGGGTGGAATTGAGTGGTTTTTCCACACACAATTTGATCAAAACTCATAAAAATCAATCTTTATCAATAAACAAAAACCAAAATAACACAGTTTTCAAGAATCTTTTTCTCATCCTTCTTCTGGGTGCAATTGAGTGTTATTTTCCACACAAAATTTGATCAAAACTCATAAAAAAACAATCTTTATCAATATTTCACAAAAACAAAAAAAAACACAATTTTCAAGAATCTTTTTTCTCATCCTTCTTCTGGGTGGAATTGAGTGTTTTTTCCACACTGAATCTGATCAAAACTCATAAAAAACCCAATCTTTATCAGTATTTAACAAAAAAAAACACAATTTTCAAGAATCTTTTTTCTCATCCTTCTTCTGGGTGGAATTGAGTGTTTTTTCCACACTGAATCTGATCAAAACTCATAAAAAACCCAATCTTTATCAGTATTTAACAAAAAAAAAAACATGATTTTTTTCAAGAATCTTTTTTTTTCATCTTTTAGGTAAAATTGAGTGGATTTAAAGAAACCTTGGAGCTGTAATTGCACAAGGGTACACAGTTGTAGTGAAGGGAAGAACCCTGAACATTGGAGTTTTGGGGTTTTGAACGGATTTTTTTCTTTTTTTGGCAAATAGGTATTTGCCTAAACAATTTTGTGTTGTGTTTTCCAACAATTTTTTTTGAGCAAAATGGTTCTACAACTATAGAATTTTTTTATTTATTTATTTGGTAACCACAAAAGATCACGTTTTTTTTCATTTCTCTTTTCTTGATTTGATGAATATTAGCAATTTGTTAAATAAATAAGCTTAGGATTTCCTATTTTAAATCCTTAATCTCTTATAGTGGAGTAGTATATATACGAGTGAGAGTTTGCGCTAGTAATATTGTCAATTTGTAAAAATAAAAATGAAAAATTTAAAATTATTATAAGTGAAATGATCGAAACTAATTCTCATTGGATGGAAGCAGTAGCAGAGTTAGGGTTCGAAGTATAAAGAAGTAAATATGTAAGAATAACAAGATGAAAAATCGAGCGAATTGGGAGGAAGATATTAATTTTAATCGTTAAATTTAACTTATATTATCATATTGTGTTTAGGTTCTTCCTACTATTATCCTACTCCATTGAGCTTTTAAAAAATCTAGTGTTATTTTCTCTTTTATTTTGCATATTCTACCTTTTTTGAACTTTTTCTGAATTTTGAATTAGTGCCCATGAGAACATAGATATGTAGAAATCAAATGAGCAATATAAATAAGAAGAATAAAAGACAAAATATATAGAAAATGTGGTTAGTAAATTTAAATCAAGACAAATTGAGAAAAAATAACATAAAAACAAAAATAATTAAGAAAAAACAAAAATAATACAGTTTTAGATTCAGTCCAAAAAGAATGAGGCCTTTTATTGGGTATTCTAAGCCTAAGACCTAAGCCCATTCAGCCTTTTCAAAGTGAAAAAAGGTTGAAAAAAGTTGCAATTAGCAAAAATTAAACTCGGAACCTTTAGGTTAACAATGATCCCCCTAACCAGTGAGCTACGCTCCTCTTCAGTTGTTGAGGGGGTTCATCATTTTTATAAATATACGCTTAAAATCAGAAGTTTACCTTATATATATAGTGTAATTTTTTGATGAAGGGGGTTCAGGTGAGCTCCTAAGCCCCACATAGATCCGCCATGGATGGAAGTATGTGTATGGGGTGGGAATTGAACCAATTGCATACTACATAAGTACTAGTTAAATACAATCAAATGATAGTAAACTATAGACCAATTAGTCTAAGAATTATAAATTGAGGAAGTATATATTCTTCCCTCAAGTTTCATATCTTGTTACTTTAAGCCCTTAAGTTCTTGAAACTCACGAGCTTACAACATTAGTTGGTACCCAAGCTATAAGGACCTAACTTAGTTAGGGGTTCAATTGAATCTCCTTCTTATATCGATTATATCGTCAAGTAATTTAAATAACTTTTAAATCTCATACATATTTTATTAGGAACAAGCCAATGAGCACAAAATGAGAATGCCTCATAAAGGTAAATGATTTTGATTGCTACATAATATTAATTGGAAGCAGAGTCAAAAATTTTAATTTATTAATATTTTAAATTCTGTCAAATTTGTAATCATCGTTATAGCTTCACTCGTTAAAAGTGGATTTTGCCAGCTAACAAATTCCACATAATTTATAATCATATCAACAAATAACCATTTTCTTATTTTAGGACCGACATGGTTGACACAAATCAAGTAATAATCATATCAAAAGTAAGAATTTGTACTTGTTTGTCAAATCTAGTGTTGAATATGTTAGCTAGATACTTTTTAAACTTGGAATGTTCACATTTTATGTCAATTATTAGACACAATATCAATTATATAACTATTGACTCTAAACATATATAGGTGTTTTTAGTCAATTAACTAAAAATATTTTTTTTGCCTTTTGATCAACTGGTTTACTTCTAGAGAAAGGGATTAATTAGTGGTGGATGAGGAAGTGTACTAGTAAAAGTATTTCTTTTATTTTGTAATCGGGATATATCTATTTTAGAATTTGATTAATTTAAATTTGTGAAATCTCGCTTGGAGGTAAGCACATCCACTATAAAAGGAGACTTTATTCCAAAGTTTGATCATTCGCCATGTTAGTAAAAAGGTGATGGCTTAAATTTTAATAATTTTTTGCATTATATAAAGTAGCATTTTTGATAGTCACAACTAATGTAGTGTTTGGTTGGTGATATTAAATAAAACCTGCATTATTATTATTATAATTTTGCAGGAATCTATGAATTATTTTAACATGAAATATAAACATTGTATATTGCATAAATCCGATTGAGTCAATTTAAATGGTCCAGTCAATCATGGTATTCAAGATTATGAGGCTACAAATACCACATTTTATTTTATTTTATTTTTTAAACATTCAAACACTTTACACACATTTTCCTAAATAAAATTAATAAAAATGAGAAAAACATAACTATATCAAATACAAACATAATTTTTTGGTCTGTGTGAATACATTTTATACTATACATTATTATATTATACTCGAAAGAAAATGACATGTCCATTTTCCTCCCCACTTCTAAATTGTCTGCTAACACTTTCATCATTCAACTTGTGACTTCTAAAAACCAAATTCAAAGTCTTCCAAATAATAATAAAAAAAGTAGCCCCCTAATTTATTTTAATGTAATAATTATAATTTTTTAGTCTTGCAAAAATTGTAAGTATATATTTGTATTCCCACATTTCCAACAACTCATTTGATCCATTCCATTCCCCTTTGTAAGCAAATTCTTTGTTCTTTTTCACTAGGTTTTTTTCAATCAAATTGTTTGATTGTTCACGAGCCTATCAAAAATAACCTCAACAGAAAGCCATTCTTTCAGAGTCTCGTCCATCGTCGATTTTTTTTGTATGATTGATATTATTCTTATGATGAGGGGTTTGGTAATTATTCTTCTACTTAGTACTATTACAACAATGGATCATCCAATTAGAGTTGTTGAAAGCATAAGAGCTATGAAGGAGAAATTGGATTATGCAAAATTGTTACTAAATCAACTTCCAAGAGGACCAGTGCCACCTTCTGGTCCATCTCTATGTCATAACAAGCTTGATCCTAATTTTAGAAAGTTTAATTTTCCTCAAGATTATATATTATGTCCTTAATTAGTGAATATATTTATATAGTACATTTTTGTTTCTTTGTATTTTCATGTTGAGTTGGCTATAGTAGAATTTAATAGAGAAGCACATCTTTTTTAATTGAATATGCTTTGTTTCTTCTATGAGCTTGTGTTTGGATACTGTAAGACATCAAAAGTTTATGGGCGTTTAATTTCAGTTGAGACTCTACAAGACGTGTTCAATGGTGTAGATATCGAAATTGTATGAGACTCTAAGAGACATGTTCAATTCTAGTTGGAACTCTACATGATGATTTCAATTTCAATTAGGGTTTTTGGAGGCTACTCTACCCTAAACCCTAGCTTATGCTTATATAAAAGGTAATATATTTTTCTTTCTGAAGAGGAATCTCGAATATCTCATAAACTCTTGGGATATTCATAAAGAGATCAAGATTTGTCGTATTCTTCTTGATAACCAAATATTTCAAGAATATCCATAAAATTCTTTTAAGGAGGTCAAATAAATCACAAGGAGGTCCAATCTATCCTAGTTCAAGAAATATGTCATTAACGACTCTCGAATTACCGCGAAATTTTAGGAGAGAAGAATCAACCGATAAACAAATTTGTACCCAAATAGTACCCACAATGTTTATCAATAAAATTTATGTTCTTTATATTTTATTTGTAATTATAATTTATTTTCTATTACTAAAAATTTGTTGCAAATAATTACTTATAAACCAATAGCTGTTTAATTAGTTTCCTCTTGATATTAGGTTGATTTATGCAAATTTTTATATGCCAACGCTAATATTTTGTTTTAAAAACAACATCATGATCAAACATCTTCAAATAACTTCAATGTTTAGAGTTCAAATAACTCCACTATGCAAGTCCTATTATATCATCTCTACCTTATCCAAACGAAGAAAGGGAGTCTGAAGCAAGCAAAATATTCAACAACTGAATTTCATGCGGGATATAACTTGAGAAATGTTATTATACGAAAATATATACTTATGACCCAAAGTTTTCTCGTTTGTCATGAGGGGCATAAGTTAAAGACCAACACAAAATAAGTGCATAAGCGCGAATATCGCGACTCCTTTATGCTTTTGGGCTTCATTTGGGCTAATAGATTTCTGACTACAGCTCCTCCCTACCATGTTGGGCCTTCTCTAAGAGATAACTTAGGCCCATACTTTTTCTGAAATATAGTCTTTCTTTTCGCTATAAATATTTTTGAGCAACTTTCACATATAACAAACATAAAAATCATATTTGTATGTTATAACTATAGTTTGCATAATTGCACTCCATTGAAAATTTTATGTTTGCTATGGAGCTTTTGATTTGTATAATTTGCTAGATACGTCCAATTTTATACAAATTGTTCAGTTTTGTATAAATTCATTTATACATTGTAATTTGTATAATAAGATATGTATTTGTATAATTATAAATGTATAGGACGAAATATAAATATATGTATTTGTATATACACTTTTCTCTCGCTTATACAAATACAAACACATTTTATACATTTGTTTTTACCGAATGGATAATTGTATATCGAACCAAATGACAAAAAAAGGGGATATTTGCTGCGAATTACAAATAAAATAAACTATGACTATAACATCATTTAATTTGAATTAATAATTTGCTATTTCATACAATTTTGCCAATATTTTTACAGGAAACAAAATAAAATAGAAATTCAAAAATTAAAATAAAATAAAATGATAAAGGTCCTTTTCGTATTAATTTTTTTGTAAGTGAACTTTTGGGATCTATTTTTAGCACATATGCATTAACACAAGGTCACAATCCTTGATAAATATAGTGCAAGTTTCTCCACATTTAAGAGAGCTAAAAACTTCTTAGTAATTTAGGAAGTCTTTTATCTCTTTAAATGGTTCAACACAAAATCAAATTAGTCGTGCTATTATTTTTCAGATGAAATTCACAATAATCATTTCCTTATAATTCAAAAAATAATCATTGTTAAGTGTCATAGACTCATAAAACTTCTAATTTCA